GGGTTTCATAATAGGGATCGGAATTTTCTGGATTATGACTAAATCTTAGGGTCATGAAGGGGGTCATAATATGGGCTGCAACTAAAGCTTGGGCCATAAAGGGGGTCATAACATGGATCGAATGTTTCTGGAATTTGACTACATCATGCGGCCATGAAGGGTGTCATAATATGGGCTGACTGCTTTGGATTATGACTAAATCTTGGGGCCATGAAGGGGGTCATAATATGGGCCGATTGCTTTGCATTATGACTAACATCTTGGGGCCACGGAGGGGGTCAGGAAGCCTAATGATAGAGCAGAGCAAGAACACTCAGAAATATAGAGTTACCTTGCTAACGCAGTGGAGCACACAGCTTGCGAAGGTCACAGTTGGAGGGAGGGATTATTCCCTGCAAAGGTCAAGGAGCCATCATCCAAACAGGATGATCTCAGACAACCATCATTCTAAAATCAATGTCTAAAAATAAATTAAAAAATAAAAAAAATAAAAAAATAAAAAATCAATGTCTAAAATCAATGGTTGATTAGTATGATTACAGATCTTGGAGGGAAACCATGGCCCTTAACAGTCCAATGGAAAAGATGCTCAGTGGGGTGGTACTACATGGCTTGCGCGTAGGGTGTGGCAGATCAAGCATCATGATCTCTAGTAGATTCCACAAGAACGCAAACTCAATCATTGGGAAACCCACACAGAGCTCAGAGGGTTAAGAATCTTCAAGAGAATCTCCATGATATTCTTCTATCCATCCCAGAGAAGTGGATTCGTCTATATTAGGCGGTGGTCATAAAATTGGCAGTATGGGCTAGGGGGTTAGGAGTAAGGGGGGGTGGGGGGCAGCGGGGGGTCAGGGCCACCTGGACTCGAGAATCGCTTGCTCACGATGGCCTTAGGATTTTAGGAGCACAGAAGCTCCTAAAATGGTAGAGCTGGGTGAGTGTCGAAACGCACGACATGTCAGGTCCCGGCTTAAACCACGACATGTCAAGATCCTCACCCAGACAAAGTTCTATTCCTTGCCTTCTCTGTCTTGGTGTGGTGTGATTCTGTATCGGTCAACTTGGTTTCAGTCTTCCTCGTGATTGCTACGACTGACGGCAAAGTGGATGGCAGCCCAGTCAGAAGGACACCGGGTTGGGGTTGGGGGGAAGGGGGAAGGCGGGGGGAGTGCCGTTCTATCATGTCAGCGGAAAAAATAAAAAATAAACAAAAAAAAACGCTCCGCTGGCACTTTGGCAAAGCTTGGTGAACAGGGGGAATCCGCCTTTGGGGAAAAGAGGCTCGGAGGTACTGATGATGAATCATGCTCAGTTTCCCTTTTTTTTT